GTATGTTTTTGTCTGCTTTGTCAAAGATTAGGTGGCTATATGAGGATAGTTTTATATCTGGGTTCTCAGTTCTGTTCCACTGGTCAATGGTTCTATTTTTGTGGTAGATGTATTTTTGTATTTTGTAGTTTTTGGCTATCACGTCTGTGAAGGTATCCTGGTATATATGTACACACTTTCTCTGGGGCATATACTTAAGGGTCATAGCTGTGTTTCTCCTCTATTTAATCAAATATCAATAATTCCAATCTTCTCCCAAAACTGGCCAAAGCAATTTGCACTCCTACTAGTAATGTACTAAAATTCTACATGCTTCATTTTCTCACCAAAAATTGATGTCGCTGTTTATTTCTTTTCCCTCCATTGTGCTATGATTTTGGCATCACAATTTATTGAAACTGCACCATTTCTGAGGCAGAAATTGTCATAAACTTCAAATAAAGGGAAACATAGCTGCACATCGGGACTCTCACCAAGTTATGTTGCATCTGGCTCATACTCACTTGTGAATGACAGCTTCCCAACTCTGCATTTGATGACCTCACATTGGCACCTTGAAGTTGGCCGTGAAGGGACCATTTACACCAAAGTAATCAGCAAATGCGATAAATCAGGGATTTTTTTCAGTGATTTTTTTTTTCAGAGAGCTGGTTTAGCAGCACACCACAAAGCTGACCCTTCACGCACCAGTGTGTAGATTCCAAGAGATGATATTTCCAGACAAAGTGCATGGTTAGCACCTGATGAAGAGTGAAGGGAATGTGGAGTCCTCACAGGTGCTGGGGCATCATTTTGGGTCTATCTTTTGGAACCTGGGATCTAGTTTTTGCCCATTTATTCAGTGATTTAATCCAAGTCCATGTTCAGAGCTGAAGAGACGGGGAATCAATCGCATATGTCAAGGAAGTGGCACTTAGCAATAAAGGAAAAATTGTCACAAGACAGAGGAGCGGAGCACGAGGTGCAAACAGATGTGAGCTCAAACCTGCCCTGGGGGTTGACCCTCACGTCACAGGAGAGGACGGAGGGAGGGACGGTCAAGCAGGGTCAAGAAGGGGCGGAGGGCAGCAGCACAGAGGGGTGGAAGCAGAGTCCTCTGCAGACACGCAGACCTCCTCCTGCACCCGACCCTGTGTCCTCCCCGCGACATTCTCAGCAGACACTTTCCCAACTGCTGCCCTGGACTTTCTTCCAGAACCTCCTGGGGTCATCAGATTTGTTTCCAAGGCTCTCCCACTCTGGATGGTGCGTTGTTGTCTCTGGAGTTTACCTCCCGGCTGCATCCTGGTGTCTTCTCTGGCTGTGCCAATCCTGAAACAGCAGAATCCCGAGGGCCACCAGGATCAAGCCAGCCACGCCCATGCGGACGAGATTCTCCACTGTGTAATCCTGGGGGTGTGGGGCTGGGGATTGCGGACAGGAGGTCAGAGAGGTCAGAGCAGATCAAAGTCACCCAGGATCCCTGGATGTCCCCCCAGGACACCAACCTCCCCTGGACAGGGCCTGACCCTGTGTGTTCAACCCATGACCGAGAGGGTCTCCTCACTCACCACTCGTGGGGTCTGACTTGCTTGGTGTTGGGCTGATGGTCTCAGCTGCTCCTGAGCATCAAATAAAGAGGGGCGGGGTGAGGAGTTGTGGAGACCTGAGCCAACATTGCCTGGGTGGCAGTTTCTTATGTTACCCACGTCTCATGCCATAACTCTCTGCAGATCCTCAATGAACCCTTTCTCTGCTGCGTCAGAGCCCCCTCCGGTCTCCTCACTGGAACCTCCCAGTCCCCAAGTGTTATTTGTCCTCAGGTCTCTTTTCTGAGTCGCTGTGGAACCATTTGGCTGTGCTCCAAGACATAGGAACAATTTCTCTTCAGCACAGGACTAGCTGAGCCCTTGAATGTTCCTGGTTAGTTTTGAGACACAGGACCGTGTGAGTTAATCCAGCTGGGGACGAGAGTCTCCACTCATCAGTGGCTGAGCACCCAGGCTCCGTGGATGCGGGGTTGGTCCTCAGGGGCTCCTGAATGTCAGGGGCACAAAGGGGTGAACGTCTGGGCTGCCTCCCCTTCACCCCACCTCAGCCAGGTCACCTGGGGTTCATCACCCACTGAAGCTCTTTTCAGCTAATTCCTCCAATAGTTAGAAACACCTAAAATGGGATGAATATATATGCGTTTGTTACATGCGCATATATTTTTCGCATATATAAACACATACATACACACATGCATACACATATGTACATATTAATGCATACATATATGCAGATACACTTTCCAATGGCAGTGTCAAGCCAGTGGATCACGAAGCATGTTTCTGAATGCCCAGAGTGTGGATACGGTCGGGTAGTCCAAGAACAAACCTGTAGGCATGTAGCGGTGAAAAGGCTTAGTTAGATGGATGCCAATTTTAGCTGCAGGTTGTATATGCTGTGGTTTGGACGTTTGCGTCCCTTCCAAAATCCATGTTTACACTTAATCCCCGGGGCCACAGTATTAGGAGGTGAGGCCTTGGGAGGCGATTGTGTCGTGAGGTCTGTGCCCTGGTGAACGGATTAGTGCTCCCGTAAAAGGGCTGGGGGAGCTAGCGAGGCCACCTTCTTGCCTTTCTGTCCCTTCTGCCACGTGAGGACACAGAATTCGTCCCCTCTGGAGGACACAGCATTCAAAGTGCCATCCCGGAAGCAGACACCAGGCCCTCACCTGACACCAAACCTGCTGGTGTCTTAGTCTTGGACGTCCCAGTCTCTAGAACCGTGAGAGATAAATTTCTATTGTTTATCAATCATCCCTGTTCCAAGTATTTTGCTATAGCAGCAAGAACAGCATAAGACTACGTGTGTGTGTGTGTGTGTGTGTGTATACATACGTATCAAAATGTGCTACATAACTACATAAAATGGTAGATACGTAAATGTATCTGTGTGTGTGTGTGTGTGTGTATACATATGTATCAAAATGTACTACATAACTACATAAAACGGTAGATACGTAAAATGTAGCTGTGTGTGTGTGTGTGTGTGTGTGTGTGTATATATGGAGAGAGAGGGAGACATACACATTAACAGGTGAGAAGGAGGCAGGCCTGTCCTGGACAGTGTCATAGCGAAGGTCCCACGTGGAGATGACGTTTAAGCTGGTCCCTAGGGAGGAGCAGGGCCCAGAGAGGAGCCACGTGAAGACCCGTCTCTCTTCCTGAGCCTCCCACTTTCGCTGTCTCTCCCTCCTCTCTGCATCTCTGGTCTCACTGTCTCATGCACTCCGCATCCCTGCACTCCCCTCACCCCGTCGTCCCACCGGGGCTGAGCTGGGGACCTGTCTCAGGCCCTGAGCCATCAGGCAGGGACGGGCCTTTCTCACCTGAGTCCAGGAGCTCCAGGGGGTCGCTGGATTCTGACCACACCTGGGGGGCGTTCCTCTGATAGCCGTAGCACCTGAACGTCCAGCTGTGGCTGGGGGTCACGGGGCCCACAGGGAACAGGGCCTTGAACTGCCCGCGGGGGTGTTCATGTGACTCAAGATGCCAGGAGAGCTTGTGCTCCCCGTCCTGAGTCAGAATGAACACGTTGAATCTCAGCCGTGAGCCACACTGGAGGGTCACCTTCCCTCCTGAGGTCACGACAGGGCTCGGCAGGGCTGAGAGGGTGGGTTTACCATAGAATCCTAGGAGAGAAGGAGGCAGCGTGTTCAATGGGGCTCACACCTCCCACATTGTGTCTCGGGGCTGGGCTGTGAGAGGGAGACACCCCTGACAGCAGACGCCTTTGTGAGGGCAGAGCCTGGGGCTGGGACCCCCGACTGTCCTCTCACCTGTCACCACCAGCTCCAGGGGGTCACTGCGCTCTGACCATCCAGCAGGGCTGTGATAGTAACAGTGATATTGCTCTGCATAGTGCTCTGTCATGGATGAGAGGGGAAACATGACTTTGTTCCCAGGCTCTAGTGGGCTCTGCAGGACGCGGGGCAGTGGGCTTCCTTCTTTCATGAAACGGTACTCCTTGACATGCAGGGTCCCCTGACACCACATAGTCACAGGGCTCCCCCAGGTGATCACAGAGTCTGGCTCAGCCCAGAGGGTGGGTTTGGGGAGGGTCCCTGGAAGGAAATCAGAGACTAGATCCCAAGATGTCCCCTCAGATCCCAGCTCTTACCCTAGGACCCTCCAGACTTCCCCATCAGTCAGCTCAGAACTGCTGTTCCCCATCCCCAGCTGTCCAGGGCTGTCCACTTGTCCTCAGTGAGGATGAGGGACCTGGGACTGTTGGGGACAGACTCACCTGCATGCATGTGAGTTCTGGTGCCCAGACTCAGCCCTGAGAGAGTTCCCTGTGAGAGATTTGTCCCCTGAAGGCTGAGCATGTCTTGTCCTCCCCGGGAGCCTCCTGAGCCCCTGGGATCTCCTGCTAGAGCAGGGCCTGGCCGTGGGGTGGGGTCCCTCCCAGACCAGGTCTCCACTCCCCTCTTCCCATCTCACCGAGGCAGAGCAGAGCCGTGAGGTGGGGGTCATGGCGTCTCCTCCCAGTGGCCCCGGCTGTGCAGATGGATGAGACCACGGTGCCTGCAGGACAGAAAGACTCGTGGGGTGTGGCCACCCGGATGCTGGATCAACCCCTCCCAGGGGGTTGTCACATTAGCAGTATCAGGAAACAACAGGAAAGGGAACTCTGCTCCCCACCAGGAGCCGAACTCTTATTTCCTCAGGGCTAGGGCTGGGGTAGGCTCCTGGTTCTCTGGAGACATTTTAGGTGGAAATAAGGTCTTCGTTGACCTGGAGCCACTCTGCCTCATCTGTGCTCATCTCACTGAAGTTCAGAATGTAGAAGGAAACAGATCCAGTGCCTTCATGAGTGACCCGTCACAGGTGAGGGTGATGAGGGCCCCTCTTCCCTCTCGGAGCCTCCCCATGGGGCCTCCTTCCCTCCTTCAGCCCATCGTTCAGCCCAGCGCTGCGGGTCCTCACCACGGCAGTCATCTCACTACCCTGGGGATGCCTCAGAGAAGCTGCAGGTTCATGCCCACGGCAGACTAGGACCAGCAGAGACACACGAGCATTTGATGGTGCAGGTCATGCTGAGCTGCCCTGTGGCCGTGAGCACAAAGGGGACATATGGGGCAAGAAGGGGAGAGAAATGACTCCTCTCCTGGCCATGGACTGTGGGTTTTCATTTTACAAAACAGTTTCCTTCATGGACTTCCCAGTTCTTTTCAGCTGCAGCGTCCACCCCCATCTTCCTGGATACAGCCTTTGACTCATTTCTGCCTCCTGGGTGCCCTTGTTTCCTTTCTTAGAACTGTCCCCCTCATCCTGTGGTCCTGCCTTCAAGCTTTAAGGACAGTGAGCGGTAGCACTATGATTTTCAGGGGACAGCTAACCTTCATTTAAGTATCCATCTATTGTCACTGCCATGGGACCTTGAGCATCAACAGCCCTCCCGTGGGCACCCACATGCTCAGGCGCACACATATGTGAGCACTCAGGGTCCAGCCACAGAGTGATTAGAACCCGTCTTCTCTAAAGGAAGAGGGTGGATGGATCCTTGTTCAAAGATACATACTCTTGCCAATCCTATTCAACATAGTCCTAGGCAGAGCAATTAGGCAAGAAACAAGCATGCAAATTGGAGAAGCAGATGTGATATTGTCTCTGCTTGCTGACAACATGCTTCTATATATAGAAACCCTAAAGACTCAACCAAAAAACTGTTAGAACTGACAAACAAATTTAGTAAAGTTGCAGGATACAAAATTAATGTAGAAAAATCAGTAGCGTTTCTACACAGCAACAACCAATTATCCCAAAATCAATCAAGACAAAAATTCCATTTAAAATAGCCACAAACAAATACGTGAAAGCAAATTTAATCAAAGTGGTTAAAGATCTCCGTGCTGACAACTATAAAATGTTGACGAATGAAATTAAAGAATGCAGAAATAAATGGAAAGATGTCCTGTGTTCATGGATTGGAAGAATTAATATTGTTGAAACGTCTATACTTGCAAAGCAATTTACAAACTCAATGCAATCCTTATCAATATTCCAATGACATTTTTCACTGAAATAGAAAAAAATCCTAAAATTTGAATGGAACTACAAAAGATACCATATAGTTAACTAACCTTGAGCAAAAAGAACAAAGCTGGAGGCATGAAACAACCTGTTCTGAAAATCTCCTACAAAGCCATAGCAATCAAAATAGCATGGAACTGACATGGTAACAGGCAATGATCAATAGGACAGGACAGAAAGCAAAGAAATAAACCCCAATATTTGTGATAAATTGATTTTCAAGGATGCCACATAATGAGGAAAGGGCAGTCCCTTCAGTAAAGGGTGCTGGGAAAACTGGATATCCATATGTAGACACAAGAAATTCGTCCCTTATCTCACCCCGTACACAAAAGTCAACTCAAAATGGACAGGACAAAAGCTCCAACATTGGTCTGGGCAAGGATTTTTTTGGATATGACCCTGAAAACACACAAGCAACTAAGGCAAAAATAGACAAATCAGATGGCTCAAACTAAAAAGCTTCTGCACAAGAAAGGAAACAATCAACAGAGTAAGAGACAATCTGTGGACTAGGAGAAAATATTTGGAAACTATATATCTGACAAGGGTATAATAACCTAAATATATAAGGAACTCAAACAAGTCAACATCAAGAGAGCAAATAACCTCTCGGAAAAAATGGGCAAAGGAACTGAACAGACATTTTTCCAAAGAAGACATACAAATAGTCAACAAGTATATGAAAAAATAGTCAAGCAAAAAGCTTTGTCTGCATCTACTGAAACGATTTTTTAAAATTTATTGTGTTAGTATATTGAATTTTACTGATTTATTAAAAATTAAGCTACGCTTGCCTTCCATAAACAAAAACAAAAAATGTAGAAAGCACAGTGTGTTCATGATGTGATGTATTGTCCATTTTATATAGGAATGAATCTTATTTGTTAATATTTGTTTAGAGATTTACATTTAAGTTCATGGGAGAGATCTTCTTATGAATTTCCCATTTTGTAATTTCCTTGTCAGGTTTTGGTATCAACTTTTTCTTTGCCTAATAAAATGTGTTTGGGTATAATTCCTTTTTTTCTATTATCAGGGAAAATTTGTGTACGTTTGGGGTGTAGGTTTGTATGTGTGTGTTTCATAAGTGCATAAGTGTTTGAAAAAGCACAAACAAAGCTTCCTGAACTGGAGTTTACATTGTGGGCACATTTTTGTTTACAGAGTCAATGTATTTTATGTATACATATTTATATATATATAAAATACTATATATATGCAAATACTGTATGGATACACATTATGTGTATAATGATTCAGATTTTCTATTTATTCTTATGTCTGTTAAGTAAACTATAGTTTAGAATATTTTGTCCATTTCATTTGTATTTTCTAATATATTGGCGTAGACTTGCTCACAATGTTCTGTTCTTCGTTTTTGAAAATGCATGTAGGGTCTGTAGTGCTGACTCCTGTTTCATTTCCATATGGAAATGTGTGTTTGCTCTTTTTTTTCTTGCTCATTGTGGCTAAGATTTATAAATGTGATTAATGTTTTCAAGAATAAACCTTTTTGGCTTTATTGAGTTTTTCATTAAAAAAATTTTTTTTTTAATTGAAATGGGGTCTTGCTCTATATCCCAGGTCAGTCTCAAACTCCTGGGCTTGAGCAGTCCTCCTGTGTCAGCCTCGGAGTAGCTGCGATTACAGGAAGGAGCTACAGCACCCGGATCCTCAAGTTTTGTTTGTCCTCATTAGTAGCTCCCCTCATCACTATGATTCCCTTCCTTACACCTTCTTTTGGAATAATGTGCTATTCTTTTCCTAAATTCTTGATATGATAGCCAAGGCCATTACTTTTTTAGATTTTTCTTTTCTAATTTATTCATTCGTGGGTTTTAGTTTTCCAGTTTCATAGTTTAATGTGTAATATTTATATTATCAATCAGTTTAAAACATTCACTTCTGTTTTGATTTTCTCATTGAACTCATTGATTATTGAGAAGTCTGTTGCTTTATTTCCAAAATGTAGATCTGGATACTATTTATCTCTGACTGCAGAGTCAGGTGACTCTCAAAAGTTCCCGGAACCTCCTGGTGGTCTTTGTCAGGGGTCCAGGCTGGGGTTCACTGGTTAGTGTTCTGGGGGCAGCTCCTGTGCTTTTAGGGTCCCTGAGTCTCCCTCCGTGCAGTGTGGGGTCTGGGTCCCTCCTGGGCTAGTGGATGGCCAGAGCGGCATACACGCTGGGCTCAGCAGGAGGGTCTCCCTCCTGGGACGAAGGAGGTGCAGTTGTCTCCCGTCTGAGGGTCAAGCTGTGCAGCTGGGCGTAGGTCACCTCCTGGGGGTCTTCAGATGCGGCAGCCTGCAGTGGGGGGAGAGTGAGGGAAGGCATGTGGTTGGGGTGGGGGGAGGCCTGGGGTCCTGGGGAGGAAAAAACCCACCTGACCCTCCATCTGCCTGTCCCCTTCCTCCTGTCTATCCGTCATGTCCAGGAATTCCCCGGACAGTGGGGAAGGAGGGGAGGCCCCTCCTCGCCTGAGTCTGGAGTGGTTCACCTGGGCATATGTCACTCCCTGGGGGTCTTTGTCATGTGGGCTCTTCTGGAGAGAGACAGTGACGGGGTCTCCTTGATTGCACTCGACCTCCCTTAGTTAGGTTTTCACACTGTTCCAGAGTGATCTGATAATGTCACTTTCTTGACGGAATCTCCAGGGACTTCCTAAGTCCTTGGGGGGGCCTGGGTGCTTCCTTCCTGCAGTGCTGACCTCCTGTCCCCACACTCTGGCCCTTGCTCCTTTGGCTCCAGCCACAAGCCCGTGTCCTGACAGAGCAGGCCTCAGGGCCTTTGCACTCGCGGTTCCCTCCGCTGCAGCTGCTCCTCCCCGAGATGTTCCTACTGTCCTCTTGCACTCAGGCTTCTCCTCAGAGGACACCTGGTCACACAGCCCTCCCCTCATTCCTCAGAGAGGCCCCCTGCCCCACGCACTGTCCTGCTCCTTGCGGTCATTCCCCTTACAGCCCTTTGCAGCCCTGGCCGCTGCGTTCACGCGCACATCGTCTCTCGCCCCCAGGAGCGCTCAGGGCGGCTGGGGCAGCTCTGCTCCCTGCTGCGTCTGCGGCTCCTCCCTGGAGCCCGGTCAGGAGTGAGCCCCCTGTGAACACTGTCGGGTGAACGAATGAAGGGGCGCCCGGGGACCGGGGTGCTGCATTGATTCACGCAGCCGCTGAGGCCTGGGGGAGCGTCTGACACCCAGACGGTCAGATGGAGCACGAGGAGCCGGAAAGGGGCCGGGGCCAGGGGCCTACGAGGTGGCAGGAAGCCAGGGGCAGTGAGGTCACACAGGCAGGAGGGAGGGTCCCCTGTGGGACGACGCCGAGAGCCGAGCGAAGGGAGGGC